TGTACAACACCACTGGGCAGCAGAATGAAGGGGTGTGTGCCTGAAAATCAAACAGGAGGCAGGTAGGCACTCTGACGTGCAGGCAGAGTTCTCATGAATCCCTCAGGTGGGAATCAGAAGCTGCTCCTGGTAATAAATGTCCTGAGCATGGACAGGTCCTCACACAGGCACCAAGTGCTCCCAAAACAGCCTAAATCCCGTGTGGTATCCTGACAGCATCCAGTGTGGAGAAGGAAAGGCTCCAGGAGAGCTGGAGAGGGACTGGGGACAGGGATGGAGGGACAGGACACAGGGAATGGCTCCCAGTGCCAGAGGGCAGGGATGGGTGGGAGATTGGGAATTGGGAATCCCTGGCTGGGATGGAATTCCCAGAGCAGCTGTGGCTGCCCTGCATCCCTGGCAGTGCCCAAGGCCTGGCTGGACATTGGGGTTTGGATCACCCTGGGACAGTGGGAGGTGTCCCTGCCATGGCTGGGGTGGCACTGGGTGGGCTCTGAGGTCCCTTCCAGCCCAAACCATTCCATGACTGATGCTGAAGCTCCTTTTTGAGGCTGCAGATCCCACACCCTGCAGAGGGGGATGTGAATTGATTGGCATGGCTGATAAAACTGCTGCTCTTTGGGGACTCCAGCAAGGCCAGCTGTGCCTCCCCATGCCAGGGTGATCTGGGCAAGTTCCCTTTGGGCTCCTCTGCAGGAATGGAGCTCCCAAGCCTCCCTGTCCCTGTGTTCCCTGCTGGCTGCTGGCAGGGCCCTCTCCTGGCTGCTCACTCACTAATTTTGAAGCTCCTTAACCCCGAGCTGGAGGTCTGGCCAGTGACCTGCCAAGATTAACATCTCCTGCAGGGAAAAGGCTTTAGAGGGTAATCCTGTGCTCAGAGAGCCCTGGCTGGCCATTCCCTGGGGTGTCCTGTGTGCCAGCAGCTCCAGGAGCGGGTCCTGCCCCAGCTCCCAGCCCGGGCACGGGGCTGGGTGGCCACGGGGGCACTTTTGGCTGGATTAGCTGTGAATTGGGTGCTGTGACCGAGCTGACCTGTGCAGAGAGATGATCAAACAAACAATTCCATGCTGTCAGCAGCCCTGCTAAATGTTCCACCCTCATCCTGCCCTGGGAGCAGTGCACAGAAGGTGCTTCTTGCATGGGATCCTTGTTTTTCCTCTCAGAAGCAAGTTTGCTTTGTAAGTATGTTGTTAATGGTCTTTTTTCCTTTAAGCAAGACTTTGTAAGCTCTAATCCTACATTGGTTTATATTATCAGGGCTCGTAACCGGATTTTCAGCTATCAGCCAGCTTTAATACTTGCTAAAATTGCTTTACAGGTCTGTGGGATCTGTCAGATTTGCATTTTGTGTGGAGTGCATTATCTGCTGCCATGCACATCCACGGGCACTGGCAGCACTGGGCCTTGGAAGAGTTTGGCTTCTCCTTTGTGTTGTTTTGTGTTGTTTGTTGGTAGGTCAGAGGCAGAGGGTGTGTCTGGGGAGCTTGGGTGTGGAACTGAAAAATCCTCTTTTCCCAGTCCTTGGGAAATCTGAGATCACGTTTTGTGTTCCAGGTTTGATAAGGGGAAACTGAATATTAGGATGGGGTGGAGATGACAGATGAGCTGGAAGTGTCCACGTTAAGGCACATAATTTGGGAAACACTGTGGGAATAGCAGAGGGGGTTTGCTGGTGGTGGCTGTGCTGCAGAAATCTTTGCTGTTCTGGCCTGGCAGGGGCAGCTGGGTCCTGGCTGGCCCAGGGAAGGGGTGGCTGCTCCAGCCTTGTCCCTGTGGCTGACCCTGCTCTGCTCTCCCTGCTCCAGAGCTGCCTGCATCCCTCCTTGCACCGGCATTCCTGCTGGGAAGCACTGCCTGCTTTGGGTTCTTCATTTGCATCTGTTGTGAAAATATTGTGTGAAGAATATTCCAGTCTTGGGTTTGGATTTGGAAGGATTTGGCAGAGGCAGCTCCCAACTGCTCCTGATGCAGCTTGCAGCCGGCTCTGGGGCTTTGCTGCAGCTCAGGGCTTGCAAACACTGACGGAGTTTTGCTCAGCTTGGTTCCATCTGATGGCAAATGGAAATATTTCCCTTCCCAATTCCTTTTGTCTCCTGCTGCTCCCTCCTTCTCCAGCCCCAGGTGTGGTTCCCCTCTGTATTGAAAGGCATCAGCACAGCCTGGTACTAAACCCCCTCAAAGTGGAGGGGTTTATTCAGGTTTACCTTTCTGACCCTAATTTTATGTTCTTCCATGTGAAATCTTTCATCATGGCAATATGCCAATATATTTATAGTGCTAACAAATCGATTTGTTTCAAATATTCAGAGTTCAAGCAGTGGGTGCTCTCCATCAGCCTCAGTGTGGTTCCAACCCAGCACTCTGTTAATGTCATAATATCATCATATCATCTTGAGGAAGTTTTGGAATGTTTTAACTGCTCCCAGGCTCTTCCTCACACTGTCAAGGACTTTTAGTGTCTTCTTCTTTTTTTTTTGCTTTAAATAGTTTTATAGACACACGAATGACAGGCTCCTGTCTAGAGGAATTTACAGTGGAATCTAATTAAATCCCTTGCTGTTCTGTACCACAAATAAGGGTAAATAATAATAATGTCTCTTGACACATTGCAGTGGCACTTTGTCTCCAAAGCACTTTGCAAAGCTAAATGAAATAGTACCAAAATTACGTTATATTATCAAATAAAATACTACTAAAATATTTTCTCCTGAAATAATCAGGCTTTTAGCTGCTGCAGGCTCAGATAGCGTTGCCCAGGCTGGGTTTGGTTTTCCATGGGACACACAGGGGTTGTTGTCCCCCGTGTCCCCCTGTCCTTTGTCAGGGAGGCAGAGGTGGTGTGACCCTGCCTGGGAGCTGCTGAGTGCCCTGCTGAAGTCAGCCATGGCAAATGGAGGCACTGAGCAGAGCGAGAGCTCTGAGCTCTGGCAGCAAAGCAGTGTGGCCGTGCCAGGCTGGGGCAGGGCTGCAGGGGATGGATGGGATGGATGAACCAGGGTTCTCCTGGAGACAAGAGGTGGGAGTGTTGTGATCCCTGAAATTCCCCTTTCATTCCTAGTCTGGCTTTCCCAGTGTGTGTAAGTGTAAAAAATCCCTTTTATTTGTGTTTCCTTGGACCAGCATCTCTCTAGGATCTGTCCTGCTCCTGGTAGCTCCTGCTGGGGCTGGGTGGGTGCTGCTCTGGGACACCCAGGTGGGACAGGGGCAGGTGGCCCTGGGGACACGGTGCCAGCACCTCGGTGTCCCTGGGCATGTGTCCTTCCCTCCATGTGACTCTCAGAGGGATCCAAACCCTGGGAAGCTCCTCCCTGACCTGGGGTCAGCTGGGAACGGGGACACAAAGGGGACACACCACGGATGTCACACACAGGGAGTGTCACACACAGTGTCACACACACAGTGAGTGTCACACACACAGTGAGTGTCACACGGCCCTGCCTCACAGGGCCACACCCTGGGGACACGGCAGCACTCAGAGCTCCAGAGCCTGACTGGAAGTAATATTTACATTAATTGTATTAGTCATTACAAAAATGCATTTATATTTATATATATGTATATATGTGTGTATATATATATAAATAAAAATATGTATCGAATAATATAAAATGCATAATTTACATATATTTATAAAAATAGAAATATTATATAGTATACATTATATAAGATAATGTAATATATAATATAAACCACATGAAAATATACGAACTATACATGATAAAATATATATTATAATATGTAGAATGATGTGCATGGAAACATATAAAATATATTATGAAGTACCTATAATATATATAGTATACTGTATATGTAAATGTATATGCTATATACATTTTGCTATATATTGCATTTATTTATAACATACACAACATAAATTATCTAATATATTATATAATTATAGAAATTTATTATAATTTTAATTATTATTAATTTATTTTTAAAATAATTATCAAATATTTATATTATTAATTTTATTATTAATTAGAAGTAATATTTAATATTTACCTCTAATCAGAGGTTTGGACATGTTTCAAACTCCAAGGAATCTCTTCCTGCTCCTCTAAACCCAAACTGTCTGAGCAAATTATTGAAGCCACCTGATGATTTGTACTGATGACCTTTCCTTGTTTTATGATGTAAAACAATCTCCAAGCTCCACAAAAGCAATTTTTCATCTTATTCTCTCTCAATAACTTTATTGTTGTTGTTATTGTTATTATCATCATCATCATCAATCATTATTATTAATAAAAACAGAGCTGAGTCTCTGCCCATCTTGCTGTGAGCTCTCAGCCCATCTGACCCCTCCAGGTTGTCCTTCTGTGCCTTAACATTAGGTTGTTTTTAGTAACTACAGTTTTACACTGAATTAAGGGTTATATCCAGGGATATTTTGTGATGACTTTAATCTCCTGAGCTCCTGGCTTGCAGGTATTGTCAGCCTAAGTGAAGGTAAAAATATTAAAAGCATGAAGAGGTGTATTGGCAGAGAGCAGAGGATGTTGTAGGGGGGATGAGAGAAGGAGTCCCTGTAAATATTTCTGTTTCTTTCCAGAAGAAACTGGAACCAATTAAAAAACTCTGATGTTGTCCTCAGAAGAGCTGACAAATTGAGGCCTCCTTAAAACAGAAATAAAGCTAAAAGTCATTAGTCCGGGTATTAATTTTGAACCTTTCCACTGAGTTTGTCCTGTTTAAAGCCTCAGGACTTATGGTTTTGTTCTTTTTGTACAACTGGGGGCTTTGGAGTAGGACAGCACTTCCGTGTGAGTCTGTTCTTGATCTTACATGTGCCTCAGGACACAGAAATCCCCATTATTCTGGGTCTTGTATTTGAAGAGCTGGATCAAACCAGTCAAAAATGAATATTATGGGCTCTGGTGGGCTGCCAGTCCCTGTTACTTGGAGATGTCACACCCAAATGTCACATAGTGCAGGGATCCATTTTAAATATTTCAATGTTTGGCCTTTGACTGGGTCATTTTCTTCTCCCATGTCAGTATTCCCAGGAGAAATCATGGATGAGAAGATGTCCTACAAAGAGTTCCTGGATCGCAACGACACCTGGTCAGCAGAGGAGAGGGACCTGTGCTTCAAACCCATGGACATGGCTGGTAGGATGGCTCAGGAGCTGGAGCACCCTGATTTCAGCAGCTGGGGGACCTCATGGGCTGCAGGCTCCATCTCTGAGGGGCTCCTGCTCCCCTCAATCATGGACTGCAGGCTCCATCCCTGAGGGGCTTCTGTTCCCCTCATGGCCTGAGAGGGCTCCTGCTCCCCTCACGGGCTGCAGGCTCCATTTCTCAGCGGCTCCCACTCCTCTCATGGCATCCCTGAGGGGCTTCTGCTCCCTTCAGTCATGGA